AGTACTCTTTTATGGAACTGATAAGAGACAAGTCCAAGAGATAAAATTAAAAGTTAGTGCAAATAGAGATATAAAAAATAAGTTTAAAATAATTGATTGTGATATCGTTGAGTATAAAATTCCTAATATAGACGTTGTCATATCATGTGTATCATTCAATTTGACATGTCCAATTGTGCTCAAATTAATGTCATTTAATTTCAGATGTGCTTTCATTTTAGTTCAAAAAGAATTTGCAGACAAACTTTTAGCTAAATCCGGTTCTAATGATTATTCTAAATTATCAGTTGTTACTCAATTAATGTCAAAAATAGAGCATGTTTTAAAAGTGTCAAAAAATTCATATTCCCCTCCCCTGAATATTGATACTTGTTTTGTAAAGATACAGTTGAGATCACCTAAAGTACCGATTGATGTGATGGAGTTTGAACGTTTACTTAAATTTTGTTTTAATAGAAAAAATAAGCTTCTTTCATCAAATTTAAACTGTCCACAATTTCATTCACACATAGTTGATGTAATAGAATGTGATAAGAAGGAAGCTAGTAGATTAGTCTTACAGATAATTGCAAATTGTGACTTTAAGACAACTAGACCATCTAAGATGCATGTTGAAGACTTTTTAAAATTGTTACTTGAATTTAAGAAAACAGGTGTGTCTTTTTAAATAAATTTATTTATCTTCAAATAAGATTTTCTCCAATTTGTTTATTTCTGTCTGTTTAGCAGCTTGTCCCTCTGACTTTATTTCAACTTTTCTCATATCATCAATATCTATTATAAAATTAGATCTATTGTTGATATACAAAACAGGTGTTGTTTTATTTAAATACTTCTTAACATTCATTGTACAAAGAATATAGTGATGTTTATTTTTATCTCCTATCATATCAAAAATACAGTTATGATTATTTTCTGTGCTATCATCATTTTCTGATTTTTTTAAACAAGGAACTATGTTAGCTTCTCCAACTAAGTCAATGTTTGGTGTAATTAATTTGTCATATTCACACTTCGGAATTATAAATTTTGGAAAATGACCCATCACATTTACAATTGTTTTGACATTATTTTGCAGTTTGTGTGCCTTTTCAGCAAATTCAGCCTCAATAAACAATTGAAATGGTTCTCTGAATCCATTTGATATCAGAATTTTAAAAAGCTTTTTATTCTTTCGAATCAAATCTTTTTTCATGGACAAAAATTTTTAATTTTAATTTCTTTCGATCTTTTCTAAACTGAGAACCATTTTACATGCATAACACTTTTTGTCATCCGAAGAAGTTGGATTTCCACAATTGTCACACATGTAAACTTTTGACTCTCCCTCATCATTATTGAAATTAGTTAATTTTTCACATCTTTCTATAATGTTTTGAATTATTTGTGAATTTACCTTTTCCAGTGATTTAATTAGATTTCGTGCACCCCCTCGAGATTCAGCATTTTTAAAATATGAGCATTCTGTTGAAAAATATTTTAAATTCTTGTAAAATGCATATAACACGATGTCTTTTTGATAAATATATTTAAATGGTTTAAATCTTGAAAAAGATAATGATTTTGTTTCTTTAGTAATTACAGAACAACATCTTTTTAATCTCGATATATCACCACGTATAAAATTAAGTAAAACTGTTTCAGCAATATCATCTGCATTGTGTCCAGTTGCTATAATATCTACTCCCATGTTATTAGCGGCTATTTCTAATGCTTGTCTTCTAAAAACACCACAGTATGTGCAATTGGTTTTAGTTCCTACTTTTTCCACTACTTCATCCATATCTAGTCCAAAGATTTCTTTATATGAGACTATTTTGAGTGGTAAATTAAGTTTCTCTGCGTTATAATAAACAGTATCAATAGAATAATCTCTATATCCTTTAATTCCC